ATTTTAAATTATATTTTTAATTTATCTTTCAAGATAAATACAACATTTTTTCCACGTTTCTAAGGTGAATTTTTTTTATACAGTTTTAAGTTTTTTTTTCTATTTAATATGCAAGTTTATATATATATATATATATATATATATATTATATATGGTTGTTTTCGTAAAAAAATAAAATTGGTATTGAATTGCTCTCTTTTTTTTATTGAATAAGTTTGTATTTTCTTTTTTGTTTCTTTAATTTAATTCTACTCTGTTTGTTTAATCTAATTCGACTTTTGAAACTTTTTTCCTTCCTTCATGTCATTTTTGTTTTTTTATTTAAATTAAAAGCTATTATTTAAGAGAGAAGAGAGCTCTACCAAGTGAAATACAATTAATTATAAAGACATCAACGAATGCTTAAATTTATGTTTTACATAAGCTTTGCACATACGTATATTTTTTTAGGTTTTTGAAGGAGAAAGTTTTGGTTTTTAAATTTAATACTAAATTTTTGAAAACTTTTTGAAAAGAGTGGCAAAGCTATAACTGAAGGAAATTAAAGTGTGCACTTCTCTTTTATAAGTAAGTAAGCTTTCATTTTGAAAACAACTTATGATACAATTTGCATTCAGCTTGAATAGAATTTGAAAATTTTGAAAAAAAATTTTTTCCATTACAATAGTAGCAGAATATAAAATGATAGAATCGGAAAGTTGCAAATGTGAATAAGACAATGATTACTAATTATTACTTTCTCTTATTCTGCTTAGGTTTTATTGGTTTTCGTTAGCATAATTGTTAAGCCTGCAAAGACCGTAAAAAGATCTAACCTTCCAAAAACATGCCTAGTTTCATACCAATAAAATCATAAAAGAAATCAAGATTAATTTTATAAAGAAAAACATATAACAAAGTTGTATTCGGCTGGCAGCGAATCTCGCATACTCATCTCCATTAATATCTTTGGCGCCCTTTTTTTGATTTATATACTTTATAGGGTCTTTAAAACTTCCTTTTGGGCGTTGCAAAATAGCAAAATGAGTATACCCCCCTTCCTTCAATGTTGAATGTAAAAAAAAATGGTTGTACTTGAGGATTTTGTTAAGCTTTGATAAATAAGTAAAAAAAAGGGATATATCTTTGAATTATTGATAAAAAGTTATAATAAAAACAGAAACTAATGCAATTTCTAATCTTCATATGAATTAATTGTTCACTTTTAGAGAAACTTGGGAATAACTTTTTTATCTTTTCATCATGACGTAAACTTTCCCTGAAATATGTTTCCTAGTTTACTTTCGAAAGCTTCATAAGCAAGATTCGTGCAGTTTGGCCATTGTGAAATTTTTACTTTATTTGTATTAGATCATTTCTACAGTATTTACTTAGTAGCTGTTTTCTAAAAGCAGCTAAATTTACTCCTGTTGTTATATTCTTTGATTTATAAAAGGCCAGAAAAGGGGGTGTGTGATAAGAAGAAGATATGGGACATTTTTCTTGTTAAATATTAGAAATTGACTTTGCAAACGAAGAAATTCTGCTAAATCTTAATTTTACCGAATTGTATATTATCCCATTCAAGTTCGGTACAATATTGAAATTTTTATCAATATTGTAGTCAATTGGATATCTCCCCACCATCGTCTAAAAACTGTTTTGTTCTCATTCATTCGCTACCTTCATATTTTAACATCGAGCAATCAAATAATGTTTCAAATATATTGTTCATCTAAAAGAGCAAACAAGATTTATTCTTGGGGGAATAATTTTGATGTGAATCAGCTTTAACAAGAACCTTTTTGATTATGCCTAAAATTGCATTTACGTTTTAAATTATTCTGGAAAATACATACTTGTAGAAAAGTGCAGCAGTTAACGATTTGTATGCCAAGTTTCAGCTTTTTATCTCATTTTTTTGCGACCGTAAGCGTTCCAACTAACAAGCTAGGTCACGTCACAACGAAACTACTGAGTAGGACTGGGGAAATAATACATCACGTTTAATGTAACGCAATTGCAATTGAAAAAATTTCTTCACCGACTTCGTAAAACTTCGTTAGACGAGCTTAACTTTATCTTTACCTTGTGTATTGGCATTTTATGAGAGCTTTATCCTTCACTTCTAGATTAATTGCAAGTATTGCTCTAAATTTCTTTTTTAATAATTATTTCAGGTTCATATTTAAAAAAAAAAATTTAAACGGTAGAAAATTTTATATATATGAGTATACTTACAAATTCTTCACCAATCGTAAAAGTTTCTTTTGATCGAGATAAATGTAAACCTTCTGATCGCCCTTGTACATGTTGCTAATAAATCGATATTTATATGTAACATAGATAATAAAGTTATAAACAACAAATTGTATTAATTTTCAATTTTTGTTTTTGGTTTCATATTTTTTTAACTATTGCAAGCCATTATCATAATTGTCAATCTTCACATTGCTATGTTAATACTTGCAAACATAAATAATCTCAATTGGTTGCGCCGAGTGAGTGTCGGAGGTTAACTGAAAAGGTTACAAATTGATTTGGAAGAATGCATATATATATATATATATATATATATATATATATTTTGTAAGACCTTAGTTATGCCTTTTTTTGGTTGAACGGTAAAAAATATCGGCATGGGTTTTCTTTATGTTAGATATTCGCCCATGCCATTTCCATTTAAAAAGTATTTTAAACTTAAATGGCTACCTTTCGATTTCTGATAATCCAAATATTTTTTCACTTTTCCACATAAACCTGCACCAATAATACGAATAATCTTGGCGAGTGATGGTGTCGAGAGTTCACGCTCAAATACAACCCCGAAGTAAAAAGTCCAATAGAGTTACGATCTTTGCGATCGCATGATGTTTGTGCTCAGCTCATATAGGCATTTTTTAAGATTACAAATTCATTGCACTTTTCTCTCAACAAATTAAATATTCCGCGAAATCTATGGCAAGTTGCGGCATTTTGTTAATACCATATACCATCGAAATCATCTAGTTCTTACCACAAGCAATCAGTTATCGTGCTTCTCTATCATTCTTCATTGAGGGTAACTGTAACGTCATTTTCATGTTCAAAAATGATATTTTCTGCCCACAAATTGGCAGTGATTTTGCAAAAGTCGTTGCGAACCATTAGATGTGCTTTCTTTGCACCAAACGGGGGCAATAATGTCCACTCATCTTCATCATTGCTTTCGTAATAAGTTCTAACAATTTCTGTACGCTGTACCATATTACATATATATCACTTTCAAAAGCATTCGTTTTTGGGCTAAAACACGTCGGCGTGCCAAGCTTCATCAAAATATCTCGAAAATTACGTTCTATAGATAAAACGCAGACAGACAAGACGGACAGACTTAAAATTATTTTTTCAATCGATTGATATGATAATAAGTGGCTATATCTCAGGTCCTGGTCTAGGTGTTGCGTACCTATGCGCGAAGTTAATATCTGCTTGCCAGTGGTGTATGGAATAAAACATTATAAATTTCTTGTGTGTTGTATTCCCTTCTATTCAAGACATTGTGCTCCCATTATATAATCGTATTATTAGTTTATGCATCGTTATTTATTGTTGCGCCTAATATTTTCTTCTTTCGAATGCCAAGCTTTTCTGAGCACATTTATTGAAATTACATGGTTAATTATGGCGTATGGCGTTAATTAGGTTTCATTTTCGAGACTCGACCTTTTTAGCTATATATTGTATGCACAAAAGGTGCGAGAAACGCTATCTCAAAATTGTCAAAATCGGCATACGCAGCCATTTTGCTTGCGTAGTGCGTTAAGATTGGTTGCTTAAAGCTGCATTTGTAAAAGAAAACAGCTGAGAATTGAGGATGAAATATATTCGAAACAAAATTGTTTACTTAAAAGCAGGTGAAATAAAACAAAATTTTAAAATTTGTGAAAAATAAGTATATAAATTCTTTTTTTTTACTTTTTACTCAAATTGTCTCAATTCGCCAAGCGTGTAATCAAGTGTGTATCATCTTGGTATATAAAGTTATAGTATTAAATTCATTTTTCAAATATATAAATGAAACTTTTTTTATTTTTCAAGGTCGATGACAAATTTTAATGGAAGATTCGAAAAGCAGATACGATCCAAGGATGAAGGGAAAATTGACAAACGCTTGTAAAGCCCTTCATAGTATCTGTGCCCACTATAAGGTGCAAAATCTTCATCGCCCGCCTCTAAATTTCTCAGCTCGTCAATTCCCTCTTCGTCCACAGTCAGCACCACTTGCTCCCTCGGCCCAACTCATTAGTTGCAATTTTTAATTTTTTTGTTTTTTTCTGCTAAAAGTTCTTAGTATTCCGGTCAATTTTATTTTGTCAAAAATTTTACAAAATTTTGTTTTTATTTATGCTCGTATGGTTTTTCTTATTGATTGTATCCTTGTGATCAAAAAAACTTGCCCATCATTTTCATATTAATTTTTTGAAACAAATTTCGAATGGCGAAAGCTATACATAACCCTGAACCAAATGGTTGTCAAGATACGCCTTTCTAATAAGAATTACTTAATTAAAAGATAAATAATTAACGCCCACATGTCGGAGACTTGCAATTCCAGTTTGTGCTAAAAGTAATAGTTTCTAGTTAATAAACTCCATAAATGAATAAAAAATTTATTGGTGGCACGGGAATATTAAACTAAGTGACAGCGATAACTTAATAATTCATCCAATTATTCGTTCAGGTTAACGATAACGATCGATAAGGATCGCAAGTTGGTGTAGAACTGCTGCAAATTAAAATAAATTTTGGTTAAAAGGTGAGCATTATTTTAAAAACGTACTATATCTGGAAAAATTGGCAAAACTTTTGCAACAAAAATTTAAAAAAAGGTAATTCTATTTTATAAGTTTCTCAACGAATTTTTCTTGTGT